CCAAGCTGGCGAGGAGCTGGGCCTCGGTTTCCCCATCTGGCAAAGAGAAGGGGCCCGGGCTTCAGGGCCTGAAACCACGGGCGCTGTCATGGCGAGCTGGATTCGTGCCACGGACGCTGCTGTGTGACCTTGGCAGCTGTCCGCACCATCCCCAGTTTACTGTTCTGTGGAAAGTCCTGAGTGTACCGCCTGCCTCCCAGGGACCAATCCTTCCCCACACGTTAATTAAGTGCCTACTGTGTGCCAGACCCCTGTGTGCATTTGGGGAGGGGGTACAGAGTCCCTGCCCTCGGGGAGACTCCAGGCAGATCCCAGATGGCTCAGGGGATGTTAACAGTTATGGGGGAAAAGAGGAGGGGCTGGGGACAGTGGATGCCCAAGGCTGAAAGCCAGTGCAAAGGCCTTGGGGCAGGTCTCTGCCTAGCACCAGGAATCCTGGGAGAAGGGGTGGGCAGGGCGTACTGCTTCCTGCGTCACCCTGCGGCCCCCAGGTTAATGCTCTGCTCTTCCATTTTGAAATTCTTACCTCCCTTTTTTTGTTTGTTTTTTTTCGTCTTTTTGAGACAGGGTCTCGCTATGCAGTTCAGCCTGGTTTTGAACTCACTTTGTAGCCCAGGCTGACCTTGACTTCAAAATGATCCTCCTGCCTCAGCCTGCCAAGTGCTGGGATTATAGGTATGCCCCACCACACCTGGCTCTTAAATCATTCTCCACCCACCTCCCTTGGTAGCCTGGCTCTTAAATCATTCTCCACCCCCCTCCCTCGGTAGCGGGAATCGAACTCAGGACCTTGCTCTTGCCAGGCAGGCACTGTGCTGCTGAGCTAAATTCCCAGCCCCCTTTTTTTCTTTTCTGTACCGGGAATCGAACTCATGACCTCAGGCTTGCCAGGCAAGTGCTTATGCCACTGAGCTATATCCCTGGCTCTTAAGTCATTTTTGAGCCAAAGGCATCATGGTTTCATTTTGTATTGGGCCCTGCAAAATCCTTATAATTTTTAATTTTTGCCTTGCTGGGGATGGAATCCAGGGCCTTTGCACATGCAAGGGCTCAGCCTGAACTTCGCTACCTGCTCTGGCCTTGCTGGTGACATGGGCAGATCCTGCACTGGCTTTGGGGGTGGGAGGCTCCAGCTTTTCACATTGAGTGAGATGGGAGCCATGCAAGGTTGTGGAGAGAGAAAGGACCACCCTTGGCTGCAACTGTGAAAGAATTCTTCCCTGTGTGGGGAGAATGGATGCCAAGAGGCTGCTGAAAAAAGATGTCACTTCATGTTCCTGGCACTCATCCTGGGAGGGTTAGGGGCTGCAACTAGGGCAGGGTAAATAAGCAACATTTAAGGTCCTCACCCCTCCTCCCAACAAATAAAAGCCCCCAAGATAAATACTATCTCAAGGAAATACTTTTTAAAATAAAAATGAATGAAAGCTTGACTAGTGTAATCGCAGCACTCTGGGAGGCTGAGGCAGGAAGGATCACAAGTCTGAGGCCAGCCTGAGCAATTTAGCAACTTACTGAGCCCCTGTCTAAAAATAAAGAATAAAAAGGGCTGTGGATGCAGCTCTGCGTGAAGATCCTGGGTTCGATCCCCATACTGGGGAGCCAGATACATGGTATACACCTGTAATCCTAGCTACTTGGAAGCTGAGGCAGGAGAATCCCAAGTTAAGGGCCAACCTAGACAACAAAGTAAGACCTCCATATCAAAGAATAATATTAAACAAAACAAAACAAAAAAAAACTGAACTACCACTATATTAAATAAAGGCAGGGTCTGGAGTTGAGGGCAAATCAGGGCCACCTTCATCCCCAGGCTATAAGCCCAAAGTCTTTCTTTAAAATTTTATTTATGAGCTGGGCGTGGTGGTGCATTCCTGTAATCCCAGCACTTGGGAATGCTGAGGTAGGAGGATCATTGTGAGTTCGAGGCCAGCCTGGGC